ACTCCCGGTGACTTATCTGTCATCGATCCCATCTTCAAGGTGTACATTTGTTTCCTCCTACAAATACGGTGACTTGACAGAGGCGAAGTACTCCGTCGTCGTCGCGGGCGCTCTGTTTCCATCCAACAGTGCCGTCGGCAAGGTACTTACAAGTCAGAGAAGAAGAGAGCCGCCTTTCCCCATGGATTGTCATCCTTGTTTTTCCCCGTCACTGTTGGTCTGTTGCAATTGTGGAATCCAAGTGCTAGGCGGTGTCGAGCTCTCGTCGTCGGTGACCTCCCGCTAGATCTCTCACTTTCCGTGAAACAGATACATGAGGTTAGGTACCACGCTCTCTCGCTGGTTAGGGTCAGTTTTCAGTTTAAACTAACTTCATTTGGTCATAGAAAACTTGGAATGAGGATTTGATTCGTTTAATTATGCGTCGTGATTGAATTGAGTCGTAAATGAAAGCTACAATTTATGTTTTTTCTTTTGATTTTCGAGTCATGGATGCTGCAATGTGAGAGTCAGTTTCATGTTTTCCCTTTGTATTTCTGGGTTTACAGAGCAGCAGGTGATTCTATGCTCTATCACTGTTTTGTTCTTGGTCTCTCCTTCCCTCTTTCTTCTTGTGCTTTTATTTGTTCTGATTACTGGGTAGGCTGTAATTGCAGTGGGAAACGTACAAATTGGATTGTTTTTAAGCTTCTGTACGTCTTCTTTTGTAGTGAAGAGGTGGCCGGTGGTGTTCCTCGTAGCTTGTAATTTTGTTGTTGCCAGTTAAATGAAATCCACGGCTGTAAGTAAGTCATCTCTTGTATTGATATTTGAAGCTTCATTTTAAGATTGAATCGAACGTGCTGAAAGGTGGATTCTGCACTCTTTATTCCGTCCCCAAATTCCAATCTCTTGTCATCAGGCCGGTGAGTTTCACATCTATCTCTTTGTTTCAATATTTTGTCATCTCTCTCTTATTTTATATTCTGACGTTAACACCACAAGAAGCCAGAAGGCAGTGGTAGACCAGCAAATTAAGTAGCAGATGGGTTCGCTTCAGCAAAAGATTTCCTCCAACTCCTTGTCCCTCCCTGACTCTGTAAAGCCTGCAACACCAGCAAGAGAATTACACATTTGCTACGTGGTGATGGTATGTGTTACATCCATATGTGTTACATCTCTGATGCCTTCTCCTTGCTTACTCGTCTACGTCACCGATCTAAGATGAACACCCACTACCAGCAACCTCTTCACTACAAGAGAAAATTAACATAAGATTAAAAATAAATGATAGAAGCCTGCCACTCCAAATTACAGCCTTAACTAGTAAACAAAACAAAGAAAATATCAAGATGAAAGAGGGAAAAGAGATCACCAGCAGAATAGTGACGGAGCATAGAAATCCTCCTGCTACTCTTCAAATCCAGAAATACAAAAGAAAAACAGAAACCGACCATCTCATGGGAGCATCCATGACTTGCAACAATAGACGCACTGCGGATTTAGAATGACCCGTGATACTTTGGCGGCGACGCTACTCGATGGAGACTGAAGGACGGCGACGACGCGAGATTCGTTGGCATTGTTTTAAAGAATAAATGAATGAGGAGGAAACGAAGAATGATTCCAGTGGAGCTGTGTAGTAGACCCTGAAATTGGATCGGACGCCGGAAGTCCTGGAGAGTCCTCCCGGAGAAGGAGGTGAATGACGACGAAAATTAACTACCACAAACGGAGCAAAAGGAAAGAAAGAATTCGTTTGGTCAAGTGGAGGTTCGGGGCTGGGTCAACGAAATTGGGCTCCAATTTATCCAATCAAATTCATGCCACATCATATCTACGTGGACCAATCAGAATTTGCGTCACCGGTGCCGCAATTTTTTGCGCGGCACCGTAGCATTGGCCTAAGAGTGGTTGTGGGCTATTTGGGCCTCGATATACTAAAGCCTCGTTGATGGTCGGTTCCGTTTTTGCAGTAGACGGAATGGTCAAGGCCTTCATGTCGGCTCTCGTAAGTTTTTTTTGACAAAAGATAATCATATATTGATCAAGAAGAAATAGTTAAACCCTGGACACCAGCCAGGCCCGGAAATCAAAAGAAAGACCCATAGTCGGGAACAAAGAGAGGGCTTTACGAGCCACCAAATGGGCTACCCTATTGCTACGCCGACCTACAAATCTAACACTAAACCCAGGATTACCGGCAAAAATATGAATAATCTCCTCGAGCACAGCACCCAAGCGACTATCTCGAGCCTCCCTGCGATTGATTTTATCAATGATAACTTGCGCATCCCCTTCAAAAATAACATTCGCCAAACCGAACGATTGACACCACAGAACAGCCTCCCGCAGCGTGACTAATTCCACCACCAAAGGGTCCTCAATCCAAGGAAACTGCACCCCTTTCGCTAACAGAACTTCCCGATCCTGGGTGAGGAGGACCAGACCTCCCGCCGAGTGGGAACCCCTCCGGACTGCCCCATCCCACATGCAAATAACTCCTTGCCCCCTAACCGCCTCATGATGGGTGGGAGCATCCCGGACACCACAGGGGGCTTTATCCACCGGAAGCCGAACCCATTCCTCATACTGCTGGTGGAACTGGCGCATCAGGGCAGAAACCCCAAACTGCTTGCCTTCAAAGACAACCCAGTTTCGAGAACGCCAAATACGCCATAAGACAGCCACCACCGCCATAATAACAGTAGGTTGATTAATCAAATCCATCAGCCGCTTGAGGAAGAGAGGAAACGTATGACGAGGAAGCCCCTCCCCTAAGTGAGCCAACCCAGCATGATCCCAAATAGCCCGAGCTACTGGACAATTAAGAAAAAGATGTTCCATGGTCTCCGATGCTGCCCAACACACGGGGCACCTGGGATGTACCGGGACCTTCTTCTCAATAAGAGCCTCAGTAGTAAGCAGAATCCGATTTAGAATCTGCCAGAGGAAGACCTTTAACTTGGGAGGGATCTTGGCTTCCCACAACCGAATCCAGCTCGCCCTATCCATCCAACTGACCCCAGATTTCCAACCCCAGATTTCACTTAGCTCTCGTAAGTCCTTCCAAGTTGTTGGGTTCAGATTTTTTTATGGGTTGTATGATTCAGATTTTGTCACTAGTGGGAAAGTTAATCTGCTAACTATTCGTTAGCATATACTAACTGATATTCAAAATACATTAACTAATATCCAAATACTAAAGTATATAGAGATCACAGATTAGTATTCAAGGTTTGTTAACTATATCCATCATGAATCAACTATTATCCCAAATTGACAAACTAATATCTAGACAACACAAAATAGTATTCATACAACACATAATTAGTATCGAGATGACACATAAAAGTATCCAGATAACACATAAGAGTATCCATATTGAATACTAGTTGGTTGTTTGTAGATATTAGTTGGTATCTCCTATCTGGATACTAGGTTGTGATGTTTTGAATACTAGTCTGTGCTATCTAGACACTTTAGTAAAATGAGCAAATTTGTATACATGTTCATACATTTTGGATATTAGTTAGTAGGGCAATGTCTATTTTTTACCCAAACCTTTTTCAGATTCTTTTATTTTGACCAAACCTATTGAATTCCTAAAATTTATCCAAACGTTAACTCTCCGTCAACTTTTCTGTTAGTAATGCTGACTAAGTATGACCATAATGAGTTGACTTCCTACGTGGCGGTCAGAATACCATCATTTACTATTTTTAATAAAAAGATTATCAAAAAACAAAACAAAATCCCACATCTCACGTGGACGAAATAAGTAACGGTAACAGAATGAATGCCCAGACTTTGATAAATTATAATACGTTTGGATAAAAAATAGAATTTCTATAGGTTTGGTTAAAATTAAAGAATCTGAAAAAGGTTTGGGTAAAAAATAGACATTGCCCTAGTTAGTATATACTAACAACTTATGCAGTTAGCAGAATAACTAGGCTGCTCAGCTCACTAGTAGGCTTGGATATTGGCCCAATTAAGTGGAGTAAAATAATAAAGACAACTATAGACCATATAACTGTATTACACGAAATTTTACACGAAATTTGACCCGTGTGACAAAAAATGTTCTCTTATCGATGGCTCGACCTATGGCTAACCGTCGCCCTCATTAATTTTATGTCTTGTAACAGTTGCCTGAAAAAGCTTGTGATTCGTATCTATTTGTTTCCTCTTGTGAATATCTAAGACAAAAAAAAAAAAAAAAAAAAATTCGGCCCGACTCAATTTCAATCATAGGTTGAGTGGAGCCTGAATTGAAAATTGAAATCCATCATTAATTGATCCAACCCAAGGCATAATTCGGCTGCTGATAGGAAAAAACCTACACAAAATTAAAAAAGTGTTAATATGAACACCAGGCCCAAATACCCTAGAACCCATGTCTTTTTTCTTAATCAAACCCTAGACCCTAGTCAAAAGCAGCAATGCCAAGACGAGAGAAGAAACACTGCAAACCCCCTTCTTCTGCAACTGGACATAAAGTTCATTGTGGACACACTGCAAACCCCCTTCTTCTGCACTCCCATGAATTCAAGTTTTTGCTGCAGCAGAGTTATGCAAATGGTATGCAAATGAACTAACTAAGCAAAAGCCCTGAAACCACACAGACTTGATTAAGCCTTGCACTATACTGTTGCTATCCACCAATTCCTTACCGGATCAAATTATGCAGACCAACCATGTAACCTCAGAGAGCTAGCAAATGATGTCCAACCTACTACCTATTCTTCCTACACTCCCTATAACTTATAGCAAGACGACTGAGAAGCAAGAAGAAAGGTACTATTGCAGACTGATAATGCGAAATGAGCACGGCGAATAAGAGAGCAATATCCTACAAACCCCTTGCAAGAAAACATCACTACACTTCAAAATCTACTAAACAGCTCAACAACTGGAGGTATTACTTGCTCCCTAAAATGTCAGATAAGCTGAACTGAATAACAAGTCCTCCAGAACATTAGAAGAACCCAGGGTAAGGCATCATCAGCCAATATCTCCAAGCAAGTAAACATAAATATTCAGCAAGCTGAAAACACAACAATTCCCCATTTGCTGAAGAACTAAACTAAAAGAAAAGCCATTAACTTTCACCTGTACATCCATTTTTCCTTTCCCTGTATATTCTGTCCGACATTGTAATGTACTATCACTGCAAAAGACTATAAACCTCTGTCCACTCCGCTCTGCATCGCATGGCAAAGGGAGCCGCACAAAATGGCATATCAAACTATAGCTGCTAATAATTCACTATGCATCAAAGAGACTAGTTTTCTTTAGCACCCTCTTTTTACACAAAATCGGCCATGGAGAGCAGCATAGCAAGCAACTCCTCTCTAACCTCCAAAGAGCCCTCTCCCAAAAACAACGACATGTAACCTCTATGTATCTCTACCTCTGCAACAAACAATGGCGGAAGTATTCAGTACATTTGTTCATGAACAACAGTCCAAAATGGGTATTTGCTTTGGAACGAAAAGAGATTGAATGCAAGAACATAGACAGACCTTAATCGGGCTCTCTGGAATTCTGTATGAATCCACTGTAGCTCCCACCAACCACAAACCAGGAAAGACGTTCTGCATAAAAACAAAGAGATGAGAATTTTGGTTCTCCCTAATTGAGAATGAAAACGGAGAAGAACAAAGGAATCCTTACATCAACCGATTTTTGGACGTTCTTGGGGCGTTTCCTTGGCCGGCGGGAGGGTCTGGAACCGGTCAAGATAAACACATCCTCCTCTATCTCTTCCTTCGACAGAGCAATCCAGAACTTCCTCTTCTCCTTCTTCTCAAAAGACACTCCTCCTCCGCTGCCGCCGCCGCCAACATCCTCCGCCAATCCTCTCAGTCGCATCGATTTCGCCGGTGTTTGTTGCTGCGGTTTGTCCTTCGATTGCTGCATCATCGGGTCACCACCGACGGAGGAGCAATAGAGGCCCCTTCTCGGCCTCAATTTCCATGGCCTCTGATGATTCCCTTCCTCTTCTACTTCTTCCGCCTCTCCTCCTCCTCCTCCTCCACCGCCAGTTTCCACTTCCTTGTTGCGTTCCGGAACCGCGACGACTCCCTTCCGCAGCTGCTCTTCCGCCGTCGCCGCCGCTTCCTTCTCGACCATCGTCGCCGTCGTCATCTGCTGCTTCTGGAGTATGCTCGAGCACGAGCTGAAGGAGAACCGCTGCTGCCGGGCGGACCGGGATCCGACCCGATGAGAGGTCACGGCAGCACCAGCAGGCGGTGGAGGTGGCCGACGGTGCGGCCGTCGGAAAGCATCGGGATCGGAATCCGTCTCCGATTCGTTGGGTAGCGGGGGCGGAGCAGGACGACCGGTGCTGTTGCTTCCACCGGCGGCGAGCGTTGCGGTTTTGCCCCATTTTAGCGAGACGGGGAAGTTATGGAGCGGTTTCACCGGTGCCGTCGCCATTGAAGAAGAAGGACAACGGAAAACGAAACCCTTCTTTCTACAGATTCATACGAAGATATACACTCCCGTACCACAAAAAGACCCTGCAATCTATCGATGTACTACGTACATGCGTGAACAGATTATGAACAGATGATCGGAAGATGAGGGGAGAAGGAGAAACCCTAAGGTGAGGGAAGGAGAAGAGGAGCCGCGGCGGTGGACGGCGGAGCAGAAGGTGGTTAGATGAGAGAGACGAGGCAGAGGAATGGCTGATGTGCGTGTATTCTGAGTCTTCTGACTATATATGTGCAGAAGAAGCAGAGCAAAAGGTTTTTTGTTTGGCTCTAATTTCTCGTTTTGCCCTTTTCTTTACGCCCATTTTTCAGTGCAGCTGCAGCCGGTAGGGGGGCTAATCCGGTTCGGCTCAAAACCGACCGAGACCACACTTGGTTGGACCAAGCATACCGGGTTAGGGTCGATATAATCCAGTGTCGATCAATTTTCTTATCTTTTTTAAAAGATAGTTTAATGTAATCGAAAGAAAAATGACACAATCAGCGTGATTTATTCTGATTTAAATTATGATTTAATTCGTTAATCGGATCATTATCATATTCCTAGTGGCTGGTGAATTGCAGTGGAATTTTGTAAACCTACACGATCAACACTTATGGCTCGGTTTTACAGTCCAGTTCAAAGGTCAGAGCAGGTGGCCTAATTAGAGATCATTTGGGTTGATGCTTGGGAGCTTTCACGGCGAACCTTGGGACGTGTACTATTACGAGAGCAGAATTATAAGGAGCTCCCTATGGTTTTCACCTAGCATGGAGTCAATGCTATAGAAAAGTCCAACTCCCGATCGACTCCATGACGATACTCATTCTCACGACAACACAAATTGATAGAAACGGTCGATAACACAACTTGATTCAATAAATTCACGAGCTTGTTCAACAATAATGGGAGGTTGATATCTCTCATATCAATAGGAAATGCGATAAAGCAGCAGATTACTTAGCTAATAAGAGTATGTCACTTAATCTTGGCCTCCATAAGATTTAAGTACCATGATCCGAGTTTGGATTATTAGTTATTGTATGATATCATGAGCATTGCTCAATCTTGTTTAATTTAAATGCTAGGTAGAGATATTTTTTAGCGTCTTTTTTTTTATTTTAAATGTAAACCTATTATGGCTAATTTAAAAAGTCATATTCGACTATAAGGTGTATGCGGTGGTTTAGTTGTCGAATTTTTTAATAGTTAGACGAATGTGTTGTGTGGATGAGGAATTTTAAAATGTGAATTTGATCCAATTGTCTTATGTTGAGATGATTTGAAAACATAAATTGTAAATAGATTAACGTGTATCGGAGAATTTCGATTTACAAAATGAATTAATTGATCAAATCACCATATTTATCAATTTCTCCATTAAACACACAAGTGTATCCTATCCAAATAAATACACTCCATTCTTACTTGGAGTGTTTTACTATTAACTTAAGGTTCGGTTGGATTATAATTATCTTTAATGGACACATTTAATTCAAAATAATTCATTTTGTAAAATAAAACAATTCAAATTGCCTCCTAACTTGTGATTTGTGAAGTACGGCTCAATTGCTTGGGGGCAGGGGCAGCACATCAGGTTGGGCCTGTGCCTGTCTCGAGGTTTGCAATTGATTGGGCCGAGCTGGGCTTTGTTATCAGTATTCAGTTAAGCAGTTCTAATTAATTTACAATCACAGGAATTAATATTCCAAGAACATAATTTTCTTCGCTTAATCAAATCGCCATTTTTAATTTTCTTCCTTCTCTCTCATTCGTTCCCTCCCCTCCCTGCTTTTGAAGAACTCCCTCTTTGCAACCAGATACAAAGCTTTTTGCTTGCCCTCTCCCGAAAAACCCTAGTTTCCTTTCCCCCCCTCCATCCTTCCTCCATTGAAAAGGACACCCACTTAAACATGCCGAGAGAGATCATCACCCTGCAAGTGGGACAATGCGGGAACCAGATTGGGATGGAGTTCTGGAAGCAGCTTTGCCTCGAGCATGGCATCAGCAAAGACGGCATTCTCGAGGATTTCGCTACTCAGGTCTCTTCTTTTCGGTTTCCCGCTTCTTCGTTCACTCAATTATTCGATTGACCAAGTTCACAATTAAAATGGGCTAGCTTAATTTTGCTCACGGACTGTGGCCGCCAGTCGTTTTGACCTTACTGTTCTAGCCTGCATTTCCCAGTTTGTTGCTTATTTTTTTGTGTTTCTCAGTGCGCGATTCATATTTTTGCTGATGCGAACTTCTTTTTTTTGGGTGCTTTTGAATTGACTATGGAGTAAGGAGTAACTGTAGTTGGAAATTCGGTTCCACCTCAATGTTTTTAAGGTTTGGAATTGAATCACTGAGTCGCATGCATTGTTAGTCACAATCATAAATTGTTGGTTTGATTCTAGTACTTTGAATGGTTAAGATGATATTAATGGTTTGGGATGTTTAGTTCTTTTGCTGACTTGTGGGGATGCAGGGAGGTGACAGGAAAGACGTGTTCTTTTATCAAGCTGATGACCAGCACTATATACCACGAGCTTTGCTGATCGATTTGGAACCCAGAGTGATAAATGGAATTCAGAATGGCGAATATAGGAATCTCTACAACCATGAGAACATCTTTGTTGCAGATCATGGTGGGGGTGCTGGAAATAACTGGGCCAGTGGATATCATCAGGTTCGTTACTGGGTTTTCAACAGTGTGATTTTCTGAATTCCTATCAGCATCTCTGTGTTCTAAACTCTCATCCTGTATTCTTACAGGGTCAAGGGGTCGAAGAAGATATAATGGACATGATAGACAGAGAAGCTGATGGGAGCGATAGTCTTGAGGGTTTTGTCCTTTGTCATTCAATTGCCGGTGGAACAGGCTCAGGTATGATTGACCTGATATTAAAGAACATAAACCATTGGTTCTGAGTCGCGTACTAGCATGGGCTTTGCACAATGCTTAGAACCCACAAATTTAGCTCAATGTTATTCAATCTATTTCAAGTCATTTGACAACGTTAAATAACTGAGCAATTTGGAAGTATGGGGTTTTCAACAAGTTTATCATGGATAGCAGATTTGAATGTATTACTGCTCATGCTCAAGGGGCTAGAATGCTTGCTCTTGTACTCATTTAATGTTGTATTATTTTGCTATGAAGGTATGGGCTCATATCTGCTGGAGACTCTGAATGACCGTTATAGCAAAAAATTGGTGCAGACATATAGTGTATTTCCTAACCAGATGGAGACAAGTGATGTGGTTGTTCAACCGTACAACTCTCTGCTAACACTCAAGAGACTGACACTCAATGCTGATTGCGTCGTCGTTCTTGACAACACTGCCCTCAATAGAATTGCAGTGGAGCGCCTGCATTTGTCTAATCCTACTTTTGCTCAAACAAACTCTTTGGTATCTACTGTGATGTCTGCCAGCACAACGACACTGAGGTATCCTGGTTATATGAACAACGACTTGGTTGGTCTTCTTGCTTCTCTAATTCCAACACCAAGATGTCATTTTCTCATGACAGGATATACACCACTTACGGTGGAAAGACAGGTATTTACTCATTAAATGATATCAGCTTCCCCTGCTATTAGTTTACCTTGGTCGTCAATTACTATTAGTTTGGTATGTTAAATTCAAGTAGTGTTGTCCATGGTCGCGATGATAAGTTTGTCGAGCTGGTTTCTATGTAGAGATTCATGGTTCAGTTGCATTGTTTTTGCTGCTTAATATCAGCACCATAGCTCACTTGGAGGACTAAATTTTACGTGATTCTTATCCATTGTTTTTTTTTCCCTTCCAGATTTGATCAATGGATTTCCTAAGACTGTTTGATAATACTATTTGTTTTGGCAGGCTAATGTTATCCGTAAAACTACTGTATTAGATGTCATGAGAAGGCTCCTACAGGTAAATGATGGTTAGTGATTGTCAGCAAGCTTTATTGGAGCACACTCTTGACACTAGCTGTCTTTTGCCAGACAAAAAATATCATGGTTTCGTCATATGCGAGGACAAAAGAAGCTAGTCAAGCCAAGTACATTTCAATATTAAACATCATCCAAGGGGAGGTAGACCCTACGCAGGTAATAATCATTTACATATGTTTAAAGTTCTGTTTTTTGCAATTGATCTATTCCATACTTGGATTGCTTTCCATCTTAGAATGGCTTAGGTGATTTTGCAACAGATAGCCTTTGAGACTCTTGTTGGACTGCTCATCATTGTTCACTGTGGTATACGCTCTATTGTGCTATCAATTTTACATTTCCGGCATTTCTTTGTCTCTTATCAGGTCCATGAGAGTTTGCAGAGGATTCGTGAGAGGAAGCTTGTTAACTTTATTGAGTGGGGCCCGGCGAGTATACAGGTCTTTCTCCCCTCTTTGCCTTCTATCAGATAATTGATGTCTCGTGTCTCCATTTCGTCTAACCTCATTGATTTTGTTTATTTCCATTCTACTAGGTTGCCTTGTCAAGGAAGTCTCCATATGTCCAGACTGCACATAGGGTGGGACTTGAGTTTCTGTTTAGTACTGATTTGCCTTATAATTAAATTTGTGTATAATTTTGGTGGACATCAGGTTTGTGCTAATTTGTTTGGGTCCTTTTCTAGGTAAGTGGTCTCATGTTAGCAAGCCATACCAGTATCCGGCATCTCTTCGACAAAGTTGTGTTCCAGTACGCCAAGTTGAGAGGGAAGCAAGCTTTTCTTGATAACTACAGGAAGTTTCCAATGTTTGCTGTGAGTTCCCTCTCATGGTTTCTATAATAATTGTGAAATTTTGAGTTCTTTGCACATTTTTCTTCAGAATACCTCCAAAGTCTGTTCAATTTGGTTGGGGCAAAAATTGTTGTAAGAAAAATTCAAGATTCTTGAGCTAGTTTATGTCTTTATAATTACTTGTATGCTGAATATGATCAGGACAATGACCTTTCCGAGTTCGATGAATCAAGGGAAATAATCAGTAGTTTGATTGATGAATATAAGGCTTGTGAATCTCCTGACTATATCAAGTGGGGAATGGAGGTACATTTTCCTGATCAACAACTTACATCCTCTATCTATACTTATCCACCTTACCAACTTGTAGTCTGTAATTGTTTATGAACTATTTGCTAACGACGTTTGCTTTGACTCAGGATCCTGACCACCTCCTGACTGGTGATGGCAATGCTTCAGGATCTGTGGATCCAAAATTAGCAGTTTGAATATTCTAAATCGTGAGTTGAACTCAAATTTCCCACGCATCCTATATACTCTAGTAAGAACAGAAGTAATTTTGGAATAGCAGTTGATACCTAGGTTAGCGTCTTTTCATTATCAATATCAATAGAGTAACTAGCTTGGATGTTCATTTGCAGGGGATGTAACGAGACGTTAATAGAAGCGCAATGGGGAAGAGGAGCACGTATTTATGCACATATTTACTTTGTTGGGTTGTTTCTGTTTGTTGGAAGCTTTGAGCAAACGTGTGGTTGTATGTACTTTGGGGTCTCGAGAAATCAGTCAAGTACTGGTGTCCTCTGTCCTGATTCCTGAATGTAGGTCTAGATCATAACTTCTGTAATGCATTTGCAGTAAAATTGTCCAGAAATGCCATGGCTAGCCATCTTAAAATTCCCTTTTCCCAAAGTGGTATGCAGTTTCATAGTTCAGACCTATCCTAATGCCCGATATGAAATTCAAATTCCAGATTTTCGGTTTATCATTGAAGTGTTTGCTAAGAGATCTCTTGTTTATGAGAATGGGAAATAAGAGCTATATATGATCTAAATTGTTTATTATGTGAACATATTTGTAGTAAACACGTCAAAATCGCACTTTAAAGTTTTAAACTCTGTTTTTAGGTCACCAAAATGCTTCTATCGCGCTTTTGATTGCATTTTGTACAATAATGCAAAATTGACTTTAAAGCATAAAAACTTACATTTTTACATTTCTAAATTATAAAAATGCTTATACACAGAATCACGCTTTTGATTGTATTGATTGCACCGATATTCACCATTACAAAAAGCTCACCAAGGTTGTACCCACTAAAGAGTCCCAAAAGGGCAGCATGCCCATTCTCTAGACCTTCAACTATGTCTTTCACATAACTTTGTGGCTTCAACTATTCATCCAAGTTATCAAATTGGCCAAATCAGAGATTTGATAGTTATCTTGGATAGTCAAACGCGTTGACTAACGGCCAACACGCCATGTCATTGCCAAATCAGCACAGACCACTTAAAAAATTTGATGTTTTCCACCTATTTTAATTTTCTTTTCCTTTTCATTTCTTTTTTTGTTCAAAATAAAAAAGATAAATGGTAATAGGTGGAAAAAAAATGAAGTGGTCTGTGCAGACTTGACAATGCTATGGCGTGTTAACCGTTAGTCAATGCGTTTGATCGTGCAAGATAACGGTCAAATCTAGGGTTTGACCAACTTCGTAACTTTGATGGATAGTTGAGGCCACGAAATTATAAATAAAAAAATATTGACCAAGATGTTTAATATGTAAAAAGTTCGACACATACAAATATATTAAAAAAATTACACGAATATTAGAAGTTAGTTTTGAATCCTAGATTAAAATACACCAAATTATTATCTAGCTATGCCAAGTAACTATATTGCTCATATAACCCGCCGGGTTGATATATAAATTGTTGGAAGATTATGAAAAGGAAAATCAGAACAGCGAATTCCTTGTCAAAGATTATTGCTGATTCCAAAATTAAGGATGCCAGATTTTGAAGATTCCATTTCCAACAAGCTTGGAAAGGAAAGTCCCACAAGAAGGCTTGATTACAGCCTGCTGAATTGTAGTTCCTTCCTTGTGCAGGATGACAACAACAGCTTTGTTTTCAGGCTATATATATTCCTCTTGCTGTTCATCTAATTGTAACTTTTGTACTCAAAGTGGCTGAGGGCTTTGGGGTTTACAAAAGGGCTTATCAATCGGGGGTACAGGTTCCGATTGATTGAGGTCGAAACGGGTCTGGTTTAGGGATCTGGGGTTTTCCTTCTTTGTCAGTGTGTGTTAGATCGAGTCTTGTTTATTCGTTTTGTTTTCAGCTTGATAGGAAGAAAACTCAATAAAAAAGAGCTTCCAGGATCAGCTGTGCTATCCCCGGGACATGGACTGACCTGTAGATTGGGGAACCACGTTAAAACTCCAGTGTCCATTTATCTTTCTGGCTCTTATCGTTTTTCTGGGTTCTTGCTTTCTTATGCTCTGTTCTAAGTTCTAACTGCAGTACTCTGCTTCTGAAGACTCTGCTCTGAGGAAGAAGAGCCTGCAAGTTTTCTCCTTCGCTTTCGTTCTGTTGGGCTTGAATCTAGTTAAGCCCACTTTGTATTCTTTTTGTTTTCTCTTTTTGGGCTCAGTCTGCTTAATCCCAATTTGTTTAGTTCGCAAGGCAAGAAATGAAAGAATCCTTTTGGTTCTCTTCCATTCGTCTTCTTCCTTGGCACTTTTCTTCTTCCTCTTCTTCATCTTCCTCTTCTTCTTCTTCTTCTTCAATTTCCTGTTTGCAAACATCATTTTAAAATCTCTAAAATTTTGCCCAAATCTCGGTTTACATAAATCGAGCCGAATCAACCCCATGAATTGAGTAATTTGAGTTTCAATAATGTAATTAGGGGTGGACATCAAAAGCATGATTGGTTCATTTGGTTCGATCCAAATTTACTTTCGGACTATTTTATCTTCATATTTAAGATAATTCATAGGACCAATACTGAATTGAAATAAATTCGATTCGATCCAATTTGATCCAAATATCAATTTGGTACTATGTGAACGAGATTATTGTCCACCCCTAAACGTGTTAATTATGATCACATTTAATGTTTTTAATTTGAAAAAATGGGATCGACTTCTTGGACATTTGTAAAATGTTGGACTAAATTACACAACACTTAACCTTTGCCAATGTTCTAAAAAGTTGTCTAAACTAAACAACATGATATATATATTTTTTATAAGGGTGAAGACAACATGATATTGTTTGCCATATAAGCATTGAGTATATGATAAAACCAAATAAAACACAAATTAATCGAAGAAGAAACTTCGAAGGGCAGAGCTAGCCTAGACGAAATGGAGATTTTTTTCCCAGAAATACCACTAAAAAGAAGAAAATTTCCAAAAATATCACCCATACTCGAAATTTTTTAAAAATACCACCTTTTTCCAAAAATTGCTTGGGGAGGGCACGTTTTTTTTTATGAAAACCGCATGGGAGGGAGCGGTCTGATAAACCGCGCCGGAAAGCAACGGTTCACATGCAAACCGCATGCCCCCATGCGGTTTGTATGTATATAATTTTTTCCCGCAAATACAAAACAATAAATCTAGATAGCCTAGTGGATGGAAGTTTGTTATGTGTTTGTCTAGATCATGGGTTTGAACCTTAGTGTAAGCAGTTACTTTTTAAATTTTCTGTTCAGTTATATTATATGTGTTTAATAATTTTCAAACGAACTTAACTTTAAGCTCGAAAAATTATGCGTAATAAATTTTTTTTCCGCTATGATCAGATACCCGAGTTTAAAGTTAGGTTCATAGATTTCTCCAAGAACGGGAGAGCACAGAGGTCTAGACTGCGAGTTTGCTTGAATTCAGGTGCCCGAGAATCTTTATCAGGATTTCTTCGCGAAGTAAATCCATTACGGCGGTCTTAAGTTTCTTCCTTTGCCAATTTGGGTCAACACCGCGGGGCCGCTTCATCTTGTTGGTTCAGAAGACCTTCGCCAAAGAGAAAGACCCCAAAGTTGAATACCCTTTTGCTCCTTCTTCTTGAAACGCTGATCAAATTTCGACGATAGAATCAAATGTTGGCGATACACCTTTTTTGCTTCGCCGGCGAGATGGCAATTCGGGACGGAATCTCGGCTGAAGAAAAAGGAATTTTAAAATTGTGACAACGGGAAGATTTTGGTATTTGACTATTGAAGTCAAAATTCTTTTATATATGAAAGTTGGGTACAATTTTTTTTTTGTGAGACGGGTACACATTATTGGCCCAATGAAACATCTCACTACTTTGAAACTTGAAAAAAAGACAACTTCAACACCGGAGTATATTTAAAAACTGTCTGGTTATGAACTCCTCCTCTACGATATGGTGAATGAGTTGAGGTCAGTCTACACCCTTACGTTAAAAGTCTATATCACTTTAGTATTCTTCTTTAAATACTTATCTCTCACTATGTCTGATTCAGCAGTCTCAGATGCCAATCAATAAACCAAGAATGAAGACACCATTATCACTTTCAATCCCGCTGCCCAGCTGCTTGTGAAGCTGACGTCCACAAACTTTAATTCCTAGCATTCTCAGTTGGATTCTCTGCTCATGGGGCTTGACCTCATAACATCCGTGATCCATGCATAAATCGCCACAGTACTCACGTTGTGTTGTTCGCTTAGCTATAAGTGACGATTACCATCATTTTTACATGAATCATTTCCTTAGAATAACGATTTTGAGACGGGTGCATTCAGTGCACCAAAAAAAAGTGAGTCACTGAATATGCATTATAGATATAATGCATGGCCATACCCGCTTGTTCCACTAACAACGGCAGAGCCTATAAAATTGGTACCAATCTTTCCACCAATACAACCCACTTTCCTGAACACTATGCAGTTGCTAGGTCTAACATAAACTAATTGGGTCCGAATATCGAGTTGTTGTGAGAATGATGATTATAGATCTTGTGCCATTCTCTCGCACTAAGCTGTGACAAATCTTCCCTCCAAAACAACCTTCTCGTATTTTCCTGAACACTCTGCAGTTACTACATCTATCCTAAACTATACCCGAGTACGAAGAACTCGAGTTGCCATAGAGATAGATTTTTGTTTATGGTGACCAATCTTATGCAATGTCCCTTCTTATACTAATCCCCCTTCTTATAATATAATTCACACTAGAACAAACAAAAAAAAAAAACGTTGGCTGCAATAAGCTGCAGACAAGCCACAAACCAATCTCTCACATCTGAATCCATAAACAATTCATTACCAACCATCAAAATTGAACACAGAATTTCACTCAAACGCCCATTGATTCTCCCTGCGAATCTCTTCTTCCTCCTCCTTGGTGAAATCGTTCTTGATTTTGAAGTAGCTCCTTATCTCCTCCGGCTTCTTCCCCTTGATGATGTCGGCGACGGTCTGGCAGATCAAATCCAGCAGATCCTTGATGTTCAGGTAATTCGCCGCCATGAGCAGGTCGTAGAGCGTGTCCTGGCCCACCTTGGCGAATTCCGCGTCCCACTTCTTCAATTCCTCGGCGTCGGATTGATGACCGGGAGCGTGCTCCTGGTGCTTCTTGCAGAACTCGAGCACCTTGGCCAGAATCACGCCGGTGACGTTGGGGATCGGGATGCCGTCGCCGGCGCAGTCGTCCTCGATCATGTGCTTGATTGTCTGCGACTGCATCGCCACCGCCTCCTCCACCTGAAACGTCCCGCCGTCGCTGCTCTTCAGGGTGATCAGCTTCTTCTCCGCTGTCGACGACATTGTTGTTACGGGTAATTGGATCTCTGAATTTGAGAGCGAGAGCTGCTGATTGATTGATTGAGTGATGAAAGATGTGTGAGAATCTGTACGCCTGGAGCTGCTTATTTATAGGAAGAGAACCGAATTGGCTCAATTTTCGCAAAGTCCGTAACGGAAAAGGGATGAACGACT